TACAATAAAAGTTTAATGTTAAAAGTTTAAAAAACTTTGTGCACCGAACTGGCAGTAATGCCTGTAGCAACTCACCCCTGTGTGAGTGATGTTGAGTTGGCCATGCCCACCCAGTCACATGACCGAGCCCCGCCTACCCAGCTGGTCATTACAGCAGAGAACCAGTTGTTAAATTTGAATCCCACCACTGTTCTGATCCCCCTTTTTATATATAATAAGAGAACTTGACAAGGAGGGTGGGGAAATGAGCAAGATCTATTTTCATTTACTTTGCTGGACCTACATATCTGCATCTATCCGAAGAAATCAAATATGACACAAAATAAGAGAAACTGTGAAGGCAATCCGGTATTTTGCATCAGATCTCTAAGAAGTGCTTTGGGTGTATAGGAGCCCAGAGTAGCATTTATTTGCAATCCCTTCAAACAATTGTAACTTTCTCCAGGTTTTACATGCTTTTTGGAGATGGAATGTGTACTACTACACAGGCTTAGTGACTTCAATAGTGCAGAGTAGATCTTAGTGATTTTACAGATCATAGTAGAAATATAAAATAGTTTGATTTGACCTGTTACATAGGACAGTCTTTCTAGCAGGCTAGTAGTGCATGAAGAAAAACATTTTATAACTGGCACTCTCAACTAAAGCCTTTTCCTCAGTAGTCCAGAAAATCCCCAGTAAGAAAGTGTCACATCAGTAGTTGTAAACCAGTGTTTTTCAAACTTGACCATTTTAAAGATGTGTGGACTTCAATTCCCAGAATTCCACAGCCAGCGTGTAAAACAATTACAACAGGGCTGTCAAACTTGTAGCCCGCGGCCCAGATGCATCACGTGTTGGCCACACCCATGCCTGGTTTAGCCTGATGCCTGAATTACACTATATATTTATTCAGCAATAATCAAACCACTAAAGGTAAGGGGGCAGAGAACATACAAATGACCATATTTTGGGAATTTGGGGTCCAGGCTACTTGAAGGACCATCTCATCCTGGTGGGCTTGACCAACACACTGGCAGAGAAAGCATGCCTACCTATTCTGGATAGCAGGGTCCAGGAGAAGGGCCTTCCCTGCCATTGCACTGCCCTCTGGAACATCTTGTTCCCTGGAGTAAGGTCAGCTCCAACTCCCCCAAACTTCCATAAGAACCTAAAGAACTGGGTCTGACAGTGGGCCTTGAGCTCCAAAAGCGGAGCATCACAGTGGAGATGATTGATAAATTAACAACAGATCCCCCCACTTTGCATCTCTCTCACCCATCTTATCTTTAATTGGGGCATAGTGTTTGGCTTTATATATTATTATATTAACTTATGTCTTTTGTTGTTGTTAGTTGCAAAGTCATGTCCAACCCATCGCGACCCCATGGACAATGTTCCTCCAGGCCTTCCTGTCCACTACCATCCTCTGGAGTCCATTTAAGCTCACACAGACTGCTTCAGTGACTCCATCCAGCCACCTCATTCTTTGTGGTCCCCTTATCTTTTAGCTTATAGAATTTTTATATTTTATGATTGTAAGCTGCCCAGATTTACCCTCAGCTAATGGGGGTAAATGGGCAGCCAATAAATTTTACCAATAAATAAATAATAATAATTTGCTTCCTATTTAACGTAATGTTTAATATAAGGTTTACTCAGCTTTCATAGTTTCAGTGTCAGCCATTTTACAAACAAAAGTATTTCTGTTCATTTCTTCTCCTTTGTGTTGCCATTCAAAACAAATATACGTTGGAGAATAAAGATGAAAACCAGATAAAGGTAGATTTTTTTGTCTGCAATTGTTATAAAAAAATACAGATGACAACCTTCTCGGAGTGTGCAGTGGCATGAGGAAAATGAAAATTATAGGAAAGTATAACCAGGAGTCTTAGTGTAATAAGTATAAAATATAGAATAACAGAGTTGGAAGGGACCTTGGAGATCTTCTAGTCCAACACCCTGCTTAGGCAGAAAACCCTACACCACCTTACAATAAGTGAATGAAGAGCACTATAAGTAATTTCTTGTATTTATTTATTGCAAACTCATGATGGCTTGCAAAATTGAAAGAAATCTGCGGTGTAATGTAAATATATAAATACAATTTCCTGTATTTATTTATCGCAAACCTCTGGTGGCTTGCAAAATTGAAAAACAAAATTGCACTGTAGTGTAAATATATAAACACAATATAAAACCAAGATAATAAATCTAGCAGCAATATCATGAACTTAAAACATCCACAGTGAAAAAAATTCAGTTATCCCCCAACTTCAAAGTATATAATCATTATACCTACCACAAATAACATAAAAACCCAAAGAGTAAAAATAAATATATTCTGTAAATCTCATTGAATTCAACAGTGTAAATTTACTAATATTTAGGATCTTCTGAAGTTATTAAGCAAAGGATTAGATATAATGTATCTGCTGCCTATTTTGAATCCAGTATTTAAGTAGACTAAGAAGAAAGAGCTGAGAATTATAAACTGAAATTAATAGTTTTTCCAACAAAAGACATTATTTATTCAACTGTAATGCTTGGAAACAAATAAAAGATGAAAAGTTTACATGCAGATTCTGAGCTGTATAAATACCCCCAATGCATTGGCAGAATGTTAGTATATTCAGTGATACCTAAATAGTTAATTTCATATTCAAATGATAATTCTACCGGGCACACAAAAATAACATATAGTTTGATACCAGTAATTGTATACTTTAATCTGTGTTAAAAAATACTTCCCAAGGAATATGCACTTGTTAAAATTTACTTCCAGCAAGCTCTCACTGAGTTGAACTGAGCTGGCACAACACTGGAGGTAGAATTGATCACGGGAGTATTTAAAACTGGATTGAAAATATTAAATCTGCATTCTCAATGCTCAGAAGTTCTTTGGAGTCCAGAAATATTGAAGGAAACAAGGGAAGGGAAAAAAGAAAAGAAAGTTGAGAGATGCTTGATTCCTGCCACATGATTTAAACACATATTTGACCTTGAATGTTGGTAATGCATGTAAGGATGTTGTACCAGTGGTGAAATTCAAATTTTTTCCCTACCGTAGGCATGGCTTGGTGGTCATGTGGCCAGGTGGGCATGGCTGCACACAATGTAAAAGCTGATGGACTTCACAATTCCCTGCAAGAAGCAGGAACCTCACAGACAATCAGGCACAGCTGATTGTCACATGATCGCTGGAACTTTTGTTTCCCCTTTTTAAAGCACTTTTTACTACAAGCTGGGGCGAACGATAGCATTTTTTACTAGCCGCCCCAAACCAGTAGCATTTCACCCATGTGCTGTACCATCTTATGAAAATGAAATAGTGTGGTGTCAGAAAATATCATGAAAAGCCAGCATAAATAACTTTACACGCATATTTTAATCTTAAATTTGCACCAAGCATACCTTTACTTCCCCAACATCCGAATAAAACTTGCTGAAGAACCCTTTTCCTGTTTTTGAATAATGCAAAAGTCTGTTTTACAAAACGCCAACACAGATGACATTACTGAATTTAAGCCAGAGGTCATAGAATTAAGGAGATGTAGAAGCAATCCCTGAGGAAATGATTATTTCATTCTGTTTTGGGACTCCACCTAAAACTATCCACTGGAAATCTGCAAAGCGAAATTCAGTCACTTACTGGTAAAAAAGTAAACTAAGCCAACTATATAAGCAAGTGAAGGACTGCATATTAATCATATAATAATTTGGTCCAAAAAAGAGATGGGACAGTTGAGCTTGTATTTTCAGTACTAAATGAAAATGAGAAAATAAAGAGGATGAAGCTCGAGAGGAACTGAAATAACACCAAGAACTAACCCTGAGATGAAACCGAACTGCAGTTTCAGGTCACGCAACACATATTCTGTGCATAAACCTGACTCAACAATAACACTCAAATTACAATGAATTAAACAGATACCTTTGTAAATCCAATCAATCACACATCTAACTTTATGAATTCAGCAGTCCTCATTATATGTCCCCAATTATGCTGTCTTCATTATATATACTGTGTTTTCCCAAAAATATGACCTACCCCGAAAGTAAGCCCTAACCTTTTTACACGTGTGCCCAATATAAGCTCTACCCCCCAAAAATAAGCCCTAGTTAAGCCCATGCCCAGTCCGGGTGTACAGGGTGGAGCAAGGTACATGGATAAAAATTAAGCTAGGGTGGGCATGGAGTGGTGGAGGAGCTGCCCTACTTACCAGGCCTCGTACACTCCGACACCTGCCTTGCCTGCCCACCTCTTCTGTGACTGCTCGCCGCCCTTTGTGCATGTTGCCCCTGGCCTCCATTTTGCTGTCAGAGGCCTTCCGAAAAGGCCTTTGCAGCTGAGAAACAAGGTCCGGATTGATGCGTGCATCGCCCCCAGCCTCTGTTTCGCCATCAGAGGCCCTTTGGGCCACTACAGGCTACTTCAGCTGACTGCAGTTCTGCAGTTCGGCTGTTCAAATCTCACCGGCTCAGGGTTGACTCAGCCTTCCATCCTTCCGAGGTGGGTAAAATGAGGACCCGCATTGTTGTTGGGGGCAATATGCTGACTCTGTAAACCGCTTAGAGAGGGCTGAAAGCCCTATGAAGCGGTATATAAGTCTAACTGCTATTGCTATTGCTATTTGGGATAGGCCTCTGCAGCCGATAACAGAGCTCCGGATCACTCAAGAAACTTCTTTTGGCAAACAATATACAACTTTTGCCCCCAAAGTTATCTTTAAGATTCAGCAGGCATCACAAGTTTTATACAAGCAATGCATATTTTATAAAGAAGATGCAAATTCCTAAGCTTATAAGTAGTAACACAGGGGCTCTTAAACGTAAGTACGGATTAAAGATATTAACCTAGAATTTTCTAAATAAGTTTCCAGTTTCAGTAGTAGATTCGACTAAGTAAAGCATCCTTATTTTTCGTGGCCACTTTTTCATGACTCAGTAACTACCACTTTCAATAGTTCCCAACTGCACCACCAATTCCTGAGTGTAAATTTCATATAACCACTGCTTACCGAGAGCGCTGGGTTGCCTTCATCCTCCACAGTGACCACCAGCTGATAGAACTGTTGTCGTTCGCGGTCTGGAGGGGAAGGGCGGGTGGAGATTTCTCCAGTCACTCTGTCCATGCGGAAGGTCAACTCTTCATTGCCATGGACGATGTAGTAGGAGAGGGCACTATTGAGGCCACTGTCCCTGTCGGTTGCTCGTACCTGAGCCACAGCAGTCCCTCCACCCACGTTCTGTGCAAATATAAGACAAAGGCGTTGGAAGAAAGAAAATTAGGCCACAGAAGAAATAACATTAAAGGTAAAGGTTCCTCTTGCACATATGTGCTAATCATTACCGACACTGGGAGGCAGTGCTCATCTCCATTTGAAAGCCAAAGAGCCAGCACTGTCCGGAGACATCTCCGTGGTCATGTGGCCGGCATGATTAAACACCGAAGGCACACAGAACACTGTTACCTTCCCACCAAGGTGGTTCCTATTTTTCTACTTGCATTTTTACATGCTTTGGAACTGTTAGGTTGGCAGAAGCTGGGACAAGTAACGGGAGCTCACTCCATTACCCAGTGCTAGGGATTCGAACCACCAAACTGCCAACTTTTCTGATTGACAAGCTCAGAGTCTGAGCTACTAGCCACTTCGTCACCTTTCACCGCAGAACATTACAGTTACACTAAATCTAAACCTAGGGTTTGTGGAAGAAGAAATGGGAGAATCTGCGGATGCAGTGAAAAGGTATCAATCTAGAGCAGGGGTGTCAAACTCAAGTCATGGCAGCATCGGGTGATGTATTGGAACTTTCCCCCACTTCGCTAAACTGGGCGTGGCCAGCATATGTCACATCCAGTGCATGGGCTGGGAGTTTGACAGCCCTGATCTAGAAGAAGGGTTTCCAAACCTGGCCACTTTAAGACTTGTGGACTTCAACTCCCAGAATTCCTCAGCCTGAAGTCTTCAAGGCTGAGGAATTCTGGGAGTTGAAGTCCATAAGTCTTAAAGTGGCATGTTTGGAGACCCCTGGCCTAGAGTCCCTACCTAGCCACAAGCAAACTAAATCCAACCCTCCTTGAATTCCATTGACCTTATCTAACTCTCAGCAGGTGCTGGCCCTTAGCAAAGAAGATTCTTGTGCACAGGCTATGTAGCAATAAATCAGTTTAATTAAACCTTCACATGTGGATGTGGCCTTTTGAGCCTGACAGATTTGACACTGGCTAACACAGGTAGTCCTGAATTTACAACCATTCATTTAACGGCTAATCAAAATTACCAAAGCACAAAAAAAGGTGACTTGCTTTGTTGCAGAATTCCCCATAGTCATGCGATCAAAATACAAGCCCTTAGCAACTGGCATGTATTTTTGATAGTTGCAGCATCCTAGGGCGATCCCCCATTCAAGTTTCCAGCCAGCTTCTGACAAGCAATGATAATAGAGGAAACCAGATTTGCTTAAAGACCACATGATTCACTTAAGAACAGCAGAGATTTGCTTAAGAACCGTGGCAAAGAGCTTGTTAAAACTGAGCATCGCTCACTTAACCACTGTCCTGCTTAGCAATGGAAAGTCTGCTTCTAACTGTGCTTGTAAGTCGAGGACTACCTGTATATACTATCTTACAATAATCAGGTTTCTTCTCTCAGCAGACTCGCTATTTTTATGGGAACCTTAAACCAGGGGTCTCCAACCTTGGCAACTTTAAGCCTGGCGGACTTCAACTCCCAGAACTGGGAGTTGAAGTCCACCAGGCTTAAAATTGTCAAGGTTGGAGAACCCTGCCCTAAACATTCAAGATGATTAATTGAATACTTCATGAAAGCTAGAGGTCTGATCACAAGGCATAGTAAAAAGAAGTGAACACGGGCAATGGGGAAAGGACTCCAAGAGAAACAGCTTTTCATTGCCAAGCAAGCCAATGTCAGCAGCTTCTTTCACAGGTAAAGAGCAAAGCCAGTTAAAACATAATGCAAGCACACATACTGGACCATTCAGTTGATCTCAACATATATCTCAACATATATTTACTAGTTGATAACCTGGCGTTGCCCGGGTATTTATTTATAGTGGGAAAATGTCCGGACCAAATGTAATTTCTAATATTGGATTTTTCCCCCTTACCAGAGGGAGCCCCCTTCTGGAGTACTGTGAAGCAGTTATCATGGCAACTCCACTGTGCTGTACAGTAGAAGCCATTTTAAGGCACAATAGGCTGTATCTTAACTGTAGGGGTATCTTACCCCCACAGTATTTTTCTCCAGAGAGTAAGTCATCTATGTACCAAGTTTGGTTGAAATTGCTCGAGGCGTTCCAGAGTTATGCTGGAGAACACAGACACATAGACACACACACACACACACAGCCATTTTTATACATATAGATAACAGAGGTAGTGCTTACTATCATCTGGGTTGCTTCAAGATCAGGATTGGATCAGTTCATGGAAGTCAATGGCTATTAGCTTTATTGGCAGCTTGCCTACCTCTGAAGGCCTCCTGTGGTTGCTTAGCCAGTGTGAGATTGTTGGACCAGATGAACTAAAGATCTGATCTAGCAGGGTACTGCTTATGTTCTTATTAGCTCACACCAGATGTTCTACAAACAAGTATGTATACCTCCAAGCACCCTGAGTAAACCCCAATTCCAGCTGATGTGGCTCAAATATCATCAGTTCCTGAAAACATTGGCAGATTTAGTGTTAACTATCTCTAGGAAAAGCCTATATGTGTATGAGTAGTCATGTGGCTTAGCATCCTGTATTATCCATCTGAATAGAGTTGATGAGATTATGGGACTTCCTCGGAGTGCTTATGTAATTAATGCTCCCATCTGATGCTTTCAGATAATATGGTTTGGATGCATTTCTCTTTTGGATAAGTATATAAAGACAGCCTAAGACTGCAGTAATTGGAATCTGTCCTTTTCATCATGTTTTATTGCTTTATTACACACATCCTGTTGATATGTCTTTGTTACAGAATGCATTTGCTACCAAGGTGTATCCTTGCAAGCTATAATTAGAATAAATTACATTTGTCTGGTTTATCCAAACAGTGGCATTTCCCAAATTGCGCACATTTTCCAGGGAGTGGAAAAGGGATTGTAGCAAGTACAGGACTGTTGTTAGACAAATCTTATTTCTTTAAGTGGGTCTAGAATGGGAACATTTCTTAGAAGATTATCTCAAATATGCAAAGGGATAGCGAGTATCTAAGAAAAAATAAACTTTGCTAGGTCATCATTCTAACATGAGCTACAGCAACAATACAAACAGTCTCGGTTAGAACAGCGTTGTACTAGACAAAGTCAATGTAAAAGTAACCAGAAAGAAATCTTTAAACATTTGAAAAGCAAAAATTGCTGCTCAAAAAGGAAGCAGAGAGCTCAATCCTCAGGGCTGTAGACAAATTGAAAAAAAAAAAAAGTAATCTGCATCGTTTTGGGCTTCGAATAAAGGTTTGTCCAGGCTTCTTCTAAGACGGGTGTCTTAAGACTTGTGAACTTCAACTCCCAGAATTCCTTTGCCAGCCAACTCCCTGGGGAATTCTGGGAGTTGAAGTCCACAAGTCTTAAAGTTGCTGCGTTTGCAGACACCAGTTCTAAGGGAATAAAGAATTTGGCAATTATTATAACTCTTTTTGTTTTTCTCTGAATTCCTCAGAGATCTTTCTTCGCTATGACATCATTTTTTATCTGGGCACAAAGAAAGCCTGTAATAGTGAGCTTTACTTCAAGTTCATGATATCAAGGTGCAGAAGTGGTATTCAGCTGGTTCTCTCCAGTCCAGGCGAACTGGTAGCGACGGCTGCAGGAGGCTCCGCCTATCCACCCCGACATAATGTGCGAGCACCAGTAGGGAAGGTAAGTGAATCCCACTGCTGACCAAGGGATAGTTGGCATTGAAACTACTCAGTTCAGTGACTCAGTCTTTAGCGCTCCAATTTCTACCCACCCAGCTCTCCTTGTATGCTATCTTCATATCAGAGATAAATTATGAGAATTGGTGCACCCAACGTTGATATCCCTTGTTTTGCTTTTATTTAGTTGGCATTATATTCAATTGTCTTTTCTAGGATGCTGTTGCCGACAACGCCTTTAAGAAAAGAATATTTTTCATCAATATTCCCAAATGCTTACAAATAAGGAAAAATGAGTTGCACTGAAGTTAGGCCCAGTTCTTTCTTTTGCATGAACAAGTTTCTGAAACAAAGTTTTTTCTATTTTTTTATTATAAATGTTAAAAAAAATTATGAACAAAGTATTGCCCGGGCTTTTCCCTTTAACATCCTCACATATGCATAATTCATTTTACATCATATTTCCATTTCTGATTTCAGCCATATTATTTTCTTTCCATATTTCCTATCTTAAGCTTAATTTCTACTTAACACCTAAACAATATCATTATTTGACCCTTCAAAGTTAACCACATTTACCATTTCATTTCCATCTGTTAGTCTATTTTACTATAGGTAGTATATATCCTCAAATTCAATTTTTATATCATAAGTATTTCACTTAATTAGTTATCCACAATTAATAATATTAATATAGTTCCCTCACATCTTAATTAGCTATATACCATTAACAATGTTAACATATTTCATTTTATTCTACTAGCAAATCCTTTCTTTCCTTTCCTCCTTTGCTAACCATTTTCTCTTGGTCTCTCAAAGATTTGACTTCTTTTAGGTTCTCTTCTTTCCACCCATTCACCTAGCTTCTCCTTTAAAAAAAATAATTGCTATATTTTTTTTTCTTTGAAGTCTTTTTCTCCCTTTTAATTTTATTGTTCTGATAAGTTTCCCCAGATTTTCTCCAAATCTTTCCTCACTATTTCCTTCTTTACTGTTTATTTTTTTCTTTTTGGGGGGAACATTCCCCCTTGTCTACTTTTTGTCTGCCACTGTGAATCCCAGTGAAATCACCCAAACATTTTTCTTTTTCAATCCTTCTTTCTTCCATAATATCTTTTTGTACATGGAGAAGTTTCATTAGGGACATGGCCATGAACCTATCTGAGGAAAGCCAGCAACCAGAATACCTTCTTACCTCGTTAATGCTAACATTGTATCCATGTTGGTTGATAATGACTGGAGAATTATCATTAACATCCAGAATGTTGACTCTTAAAGTGTGTTCTTTCCTGCGAGCAGGGACACCTCGGTCTGCTGCTTGAATCTGAAAGGAAGACAAGACTTAGTAGAACATGGGTGAAGCATTACAGATTTGGTCATGCTATTAAGTTGGGCAAAGCTAGCAGCCCAGGACAAGAGGACATATTTAGACACAAAAGCAGAAATATTTCCTTTACTGAAACAAGCTAGTGCTTCACTGATAGACGATAAGTGATAATTAACTAGTTAGCTAGCTAGATTATAGAATTGATCAATTAGTAGATCCATAGTAGATAAAAGATAGAAGATAACTAGCTAGATGATAGAAACAAAATAGCTAGTAGATAGGTAGAAGATAACTAGAAAGATATTTAGAAGATATCTAGAAGATGATAGATAGGTAGATAGATGATATACATAGATATAGATAGATAGATAGATAGATAGATAGATAGATAGATAGATAGATAGATAGATAGATGATTTAGATAGATAAATGACATAGATAGATTTAGATATAGATAGATAGACAGACAAGACAGAAGATATCATAGATGATATAGATAGGAAGACAGATTAGATAGATAGATAGATAGATAGATAGATAGATAGATAGATAGATAGATAGATAGATAGATAGATAGAGATAGATAGATGGCAGATGGATGGATAGATGAGATAGATAAATAGAAAACTTTGCTGAATAAGAAAACAATGGAAAATAGCATTGCATAAATCAAACAGCTTCATGATCATTCTTAGAATATTGCTATGAAATTTTGGATAGTATTACAAGCAAGATATAACAGAAGTGGAAGAAAAGGACAAAAAAATGCCTCCAAGAAAATGGACCAATTCCTCCATATCACATAGTTAAAACATCAGAGGGATTCTAGCGCAAAGCTCCTGCCTAAAAATTGTCTTCATGTTCTGCTTGTGGACTTTCCAGAAACATCTGTCAGCTGCTGTAGGACTAAAATTCTGAACTAGATTGGTCATTGGTCTATGTCTCTTTGAATTCCAGAATCCAAAATCCAGAGTCTCATGTCTTGAAGTGCTAGTAAATTGAAGTTTGATGGCTTATTCTGATTGCAGACACCGTAAATGTATTTCTGGAGCTTCCAACGGGGGTGCCACACTTTTCCCTCTGTCATTCTATCTTCCTGCCAAACTGAGAGTCCACAATGGCTTCAGATCACTTGATATCACCATCTGCTTTTGTACTGAAACACAGCTATAACTTCCCCTTCTTGGTTCACCTTGGACTAAGGACAGGAAACCCCTCCTCCTTCTCCTCAATTGCCTTTCTCCTTTCTTCACTGCATATATTCCAGCTCATTATTCCCTCTTCTCACATTCACTATGTAGCAGCACTTGGATTAGCGCCAGGATGTAACACCTGAGTCCCTTCAGAAAAAAAAATGCATTTTTGTCTTTTGTTAGCTTTTTAATAAATTCTGTTTTATTCAGGGTCTGGAGTGTGTTTATTTACATAGCCACCAATGGTTAACTAACGGTGAGCGAAAGATAAAAATGATGAACAAAAGATCACCCAAATCTCTGAAGGGAGGCTGTTCCATAAAACAGCAGTCCCTAAACTTTCCAGCTTTGCGGACTGGCAGGGGAGGGGGGAAGAGGGGATGGTCCCGTGCAAGGAGTGGGCGAGGTTGTGTGTGCATGAAGCTTCATTTGTGCAATTGGCGTGCATGCATGCCACTGCGCTTGCATGCTTACATGCCACTTCCTTGGCCCAAGGGTTGGAGACTCCTGCCATAAGGCATCTGTTATGACAGAGAAGACATGTCCAAGTTATTCCAGGTGACATTGGGATAGATCAGTGATGGCGAATCTTTTTTGGCTCACGTGCCAAAAGCGGGGCGAGCGCAGGGGGGTCGTGTGCGCGCATGCCACACCCATAATGCAATGCCCATGACCCCAGCTTGCATGCATGCATGACCAGAACTCCCCCACATTTTTGGCATGCTTTTTTCATCCTCCCCAGGCTCCAGAGGCTTTAAAGGAGCCTGGGGAAGGCGAAAACAGCCATGCTGGAGGCTCTCCGGAGGCTTCAGGAGCTTCCCTGAAGCCTCGGAAGTACAAAAAAAACCCCGGCCCTATGGGCAAACTGAAAGTTCAGGAACGGACTTCCGGTTTGCTCGTATGTCTGGTTTTAGCCCTCCAGAGACTTCAGGGACTTTCAGGAGGCTTCCCTGAAGGCTCTTGAAGATGAAAAAAGGCCCTACAGACAAATTGGAAGTGACTTCTGGTTTACTCATAGGGTCGTTGCTCATAGAGTCATAGGAAATCCATTCCCGAACCATAGGGCCATTTTTTTGCGCTCCGGAGGCTTCAGGAGCTTCCCTGAAGCCTCGGAAGTACAAAAAAAACCCCGGCCCTATGGGCAAACTGAAAGTTCAGGAACGGACTTCCGGTTTGCTCGTATGTCTGGTTTTAGCCCTCCAGAGACTTCAGGGACTTTCAGGAGGCTTCCCTGAAGGCTCTTGAAGATGAAAAAAGGCCCTACAGACAAATTGGAAGTGACTTCTGGTTTACTCATAGGGTCGTTGCTCATAGAGTCATAGGAAATCCATTCCCGAACCATAGGGCCATTTTTTTGCGCTCCGGAGGCTTCAGGGAAGTTCCTGAAGCCTCTGGAGGGCCTCGGGGGCGGGGGGGGGGGGGGGGGGGCCAAGGGAAGCTGTTTTCACCCTCCCAGGCTCCTATAAAGCCTCTGGAGCCTGGGGAGGGCAAAAAATGGCCTCAAAAGAAGGCCGAAGTCAGTTGGCCAGA